CTTCGCGCACACCTTGCGCATGTTCAAATGTTGTGTCACAATATCATGAACCACAGATTTTGGTAAATTTAACATCTGGGCAATTAAACGAATACTTAGTTGACGGTCTGAGTTCAAAACTTTGCGCACACGAGTCACATTATCGGTGTTTGTCGAAGTCGAAGGTCTTCCAGCACGGTCTTCATCAGCGACCTCTTCCCGGCCCTCCAAAAAGGTCTGGTGCCACCGAAACACACCACTTCTTGCTAAAGCAACACCTGGGTAAGCCTGCTTGATCACATGAAACGTCTCTGTTGCAGATTTACCGAGTTTCACACAGAATTTAATCGCGTACCTCTGCTCTAACGAACGCTGCATTTTCGGCTTGCACCACTCACAGAAAAACGTCGCGCGAAAATGCCTGTCCTGACACTCCAAGTGCTCGGAGACAACTGACCAGCCGCTCATTCGTTAGCTAGGAACGCCCTCTACTGAATCCAGTCGGTGCGCGCACGCTCCGAAGTACAGTCATGGCGGAAGAAAATGAGTCCTATTACTTTCCGGACAAACCCTGTATGAATATATATATATATATATATATATATACGAGCCCCTTTCCACTTCAGTTGGCCCAACTATTGAAATCTTAGTTTTTTTCTTATCAAACACAAATAATAAAAATGTAGCAGGGTGTTATAGGTTTCAAATATTAACAATGAATATTTTGATAATATATAGTAGAAAACACCAACTTTATCACTCCCTAATCTAATTTGCAGCATAAAAATAACACATGTTGCAATTACAGCATATCAACCTATTTTCATTTCAATGCAAAATAAGTCTATAACGCATAGGTGGCTGTGAAAAATAAAATCCATGACAATTGTTTTTATTAATCACAGCTGTCAGAATACGTTTACAATAGTTTTGGGTAGTTAAGGTTTTCAAAATGGGTAGAGGAAAGATTATTAGTGAGAAAATTCGGTTACTGATTAAATTTTTTAATTCTGGGAAATCAAACTCAGAAATTGCAACTTATCGCGGTACAGTGTGAGAAATATTCTTAGAAGATATAACGTAACTGGTTTAGTTAATATACTAAGTGACATATAAATCCGAACACCCAGTTTAAATGGTTTTATTTTAATAAAATTTTGTATAAGTACTTAATGAAGCATAATAAGTAAATGATAAAAATTTCAAAATGATTGCACTGCTTTAAAGCCCTTTGACCTTTAATAATGTGTGGATGCACCCTGATGTGCTACGCATCCTCCAACGCAGCATGTGGTCGGGCATTATCTTGTTGGAAAGTTGGATCTGCCAGGGTGTCAAGATAGGGTAAAAGATGGGGTTCTAGAACTTCGTTACATGTTACCTCTGATGAAGATTAAAGGTGACCTGGAACCATAAGCTATAGCACCCCAAACTATAACTCCAACAGTGTGATGAACATGTCTTTCAACAAAAAACGACCATCGTGCATGCCTAAACAAAATCGAGACTCGTCACTAAAGACAATACTGTTCCATTCCTGTTCCCAGAGTGACCGTTGTCTGCACCACTCAAGGCGATTACGTCGGTGTTCTCGAGTTAAAGGGAGGACCCAGTGTGGCCGGTATGAAAACAAGCCAAAACTTCTCATTCGTCGGTAAACACTTCGCATGCCAATAGGTCTTTCGTGTTCTGCAAACCATTCATTTGCAATGGACCTGGTAGTGGAGAAACGGTCCCTTAAGGCCAATAATCTTAGGCGGTGATCTTCACGGTCTGTTGTTCTACGGCGGCGTCCAGTGAACCTTGCTCTTTGCGTACGGCCTTCTCGAAGCCATGCCTGACAACACCTAACCACAGTGGACTCTAACTGCAATTGCCCGAAAAGAAAGTCCAGCTTCCCGAAGTCCCACTATACGGCCCCTATCAAACTCACTAAGTTGACGAAATCGTACAGGTCTCCGTACTCTAGGTATCGTAACCGATCGTAAAGGATGTCAAGAACCAAAATCCGCCAACGTTGATTCTTTACTGCGGCTGAAATATTCATTTTTAGAGCGTTAGTGAATTAAAAAAAGGCAGTATAAAAACCGGAATGTCCAACTACTGATAAGGCTGAAAATTTTTTCACTTGTTATTTACAGTAAGATAAATACATTCACCAACTTTTATTAAAATAAAACCATTTAAACTGGGTGTTCGGATTTATATGTCACTTAGTATATTAAGCCATGATATGTGAAAAAAAGTAATATCACAAATGCCGACCGAAGAGCATTAAGAAGAATAATCGTGAAAAACAGGCGTGCCAATTATTTACGATTAAGTGCTCTGTGGAGTGACGCTGTTGGAAGAAGAATTTCGAGGTCCACAACTCATAGAGAGGCCCACAAACTGGGATTTAGCACTTGCAAGGTAAGTTTTCTTATAAAAAAAAGTGAAGTAAAAACCCTAAAGTTGCACAACTTGTTTATAGGCCAAAGAAAAGCCACTACTAAATCCACTGCAAAAGAAAAATCAGCTTAGATGGGCTAAAGAACATAGACAATGGACACCTCAACAATGGTGTGCAATACAATGGAGTGATGAGGCCCGATTCGAAGTTTGTGTTGGTGACAGTCGCAGTAGAGTTATTCGCAAAAAAAATGAAGCATTCCATGTTGACTGTCTGAAGAGAAAATTGAAATTTTCAGCATCCATTATGGTCTGGGGCAGTATGTCATCAAAAGGAGTAGGAAAACTTTTGTGTTTCAGCAAGATGGTGCAGGGTGCCATACCTCAAAAAAGGCTATAAAATGGATGGAAGAAAATAATGTACCACTTTTGAAATGGGTTTCTAGCTGTCCAGATCTGCCAATACTTGGTTAACACTATGCCCCAAAGAATTTCAGCCGTAATAAAAAATAAAGGTGATGTTACCCAATGGTAATCTTTCAATTGTTGCTTTGTTAACTTCGCGCATTTATTCGCACATTGTTTATTTGTTCAGATGCTCCTTTAGTTATAGGTCTAAGTGATTTCAAATATGTATTTTTTACGACTAGAGTGTATCCAAAATGTTTTAGAGAAAATAAATTGCTTTAGAAGTAAATAGTTTCGTCATGTTTAGTTTATAAGGGCATATTTTGGTACAAATCTTGAAGTGGGCCAACTGAAGTGGGAAGGGGCTCGTATATATATATATATATATATACCTTTCTCCGCATGATCATTTTCTCTCTATATATATATTAATGTATCATCAGAAAATAGTTGAATTTTGCAGTGTTGTGAAACATCAGGAATATATTATATATAAAATAAATAGTAATCGACCTAATTTGCTACAATGTGGCACACCTACCGAAATGTTTTTAATGCTTGAAAATGTATTGCCAATTTTAGTTCTTTGACTTCTATTGATTAAATAATTTTGTAATATGTTGAATACTGAACCTTGAAATTCATAGTAATCCAATGTCTTCCTGTCAATAGTCTCAAATGCCCTCTTGAAATCCAAGAACAATGTTACTGTGAACTTCTGTCGCCTCCATTCTTCTACTACCATTTAAATTGCTGTTTCACTAGAATACTTTTTTCTGAATTCTGCTTGAAATTTTGTCAATATCTTGCTTTCTTCAATATATTCAATGACTTATATTATTCCTTCTAAGAGCCGCATGTTTGTATATAACTCAGAATTGTGCCCTTTTGGAACAGGAGTAATTCGACTCATGCAACGAAGACTGTAGTAAGTCATTTTTGATAGAATTGAGAAAGTTGGCATTTAATTTAGTTAGCGGGTTCCAAAATAACCAAAAAGACACCGTTGAAAACGAAACTTTTGTATGTTGATTTAAATATCAAACCCCAAGACTTCTCACCAAAAAAACTTTCATTTGGTCTTATTGTATCCCTTTGTATAGAGTTACTACATTCTTCGTCGGAACAATTTATGAAAAAAAATTACATACGATCATTTTGAATCAACATTTTAATACAGAAACTTTATAACTAAACATTTTAATTCAGAAACTTTATAAAATACTTGTAAAAAATAGATTAAATACATTAACTTCTATTCAAAATCATGTTCTTAAATGACGCTGCTACTAGAAACTTCAGTGTTCGGATTTTTACCATTCTTCGTCAGCGTTCTTTCCTTTGATTTTAGAGAAAAAATAAATTATGGTACATACGATGACGGCCTGTTACCTCTGCAAAGCTGTAGCAATCATTGTAATTTCTTACTGAGAATAGGGAGAGAAGTAGTTGAGGCAATTGAACACAAGTTTGAAGTTGACTGCGCCTAATTTTTTTTATTCTTAAAATTCTTGGTGATTCTTCAAATTCATATTTAAAATGGACAGTATTTGGTTCTTCTGATAACCACGACCATTCCCGGATTTAACTAATTTTTATTTGATCAAGATTTTCGTCCATCTTCCAGTTCTGATTTTTAACCCTATTAGAAAATTTGAAGAAGTCTGCTTGGGACATTACTTTTACTGTATAGGGTTTTCCAGTTATCTTAGCCATTTTCATTAATGTTATCCATTGACTTGGGGTGTAGACAGCACCCTGTCGCTTTTCAGCTGTCTCGATCACTGCATGCATGCTATCTCCTTCATTTTGCGAGTTATTTTCATGTTGAGAATGTTAGAAGCATATGCGAACATGGAGAAAATAAAACGGTTCCTATTTTGGCCCCCGCAATTGTCGGAGTAACTTTTAACCCGTTTAACTTTTTGTGTTTTCAGAAAGTCGAATAGGCAACTCCTGATTTCATTTGGCCCTCGTTTTGCCACCTCTATACCAGACGTAACAGAACCCTTCATTGTTACCTATGTCATAGACTGTGAAATTATACGTTGCAATTCTACTTTCATAATAAAATGTGCTAACTTCTGATTGAGGGGTAACCAACACCTTTTGCAAGACAAAACACACGCAACACATAAGGATTTATCATTAGTAGCCAGCTCTTTATCCACATCTTTCAAGTTCCTGACTACAACTTTATTGGCCAAGTGCTGATCACATTGTTATTGCATATTCAATTTTATATCATTATCAACATCTTTGTAAGCCGTGCATAGTTGACACTGATCATTCTTTGGCTTGAAGAATGCAATATTGAATTCCGAGTTCAAAATTTCCCGATACTGCCCTACAGTTGCAGCTCCATTGGTTACAATATGCTCTTTGTACATTTTCGTAATATTTAAACCTTCCTCTAAATACATTTTGTTTGAATGCTTTCTAATGTAATGAGAAGGAACTATTGGTAACAATTTAATATGAGCTCTCACACTATCCTTAAGATCTGCAATTTTGTTGGGTCTTGCATTATGGCGTCCCCGCATATCTTTTTCTAAAGTACCACCTACAATTTTTATCAAAGCAGTTGGAACCCAGGTCTCTGATATACCCAATGTGTTTAAAAGCATCGTTTTACAATTTTTTATCCTTTGATTATCTATCAAAAAATTATATTCTCGAGAAAAATTGTTTTGTTAATTACCTGCTTTTTTCTACTTGGTGAACACATTTTGAGACGAAATCCCATTGGCTTGTATGATCTCCCAGTTCCCAAAAATTTTCAATTATTTTTTGCCTCTTTTTTCCAGAATTTTTCCTTGCTTCTATTTCTACAATTTTCCTTGCTCTTTCTCAGATTAAGTTCTTTTTTAGCCTCATTATCCTTCCACTCATTTTCTTTTCTTAAGCGTTTTTTTACACACCTTGTTCTTTACTGCCATTTTCGCTTTAGTTTTGGTTTATTATTATTTACATGTTGTGCTTCATCCGCTGATTCAGCATTGTCATCAGTAGGAACATAATTTTGATCCCAGTCAGAAAAATCGGAATTTTCTATGTCATGATAGTTGAAAGGGCATATCTTCTCCGCATAATTAATAATTTTCTCCAACACCTCACTTATCACGGCAGAATCATTTTCCGCTTTTTCGCGGCAGTCTGACGGTAGAAGCTTTCCCAGAAGTATTGCTGTAAAAAAAACTTGTAATATATTTTTTCAAATAAACGCTATTTTAGTTATAGCAACTATTTAAGACGAAATTAATTTAAGTAAACAGTATAAAAATAATAATTTTTATTACCAGAAGATTTTTCTGGAAGCACATAGACTGGATCATTATCATCTTCAATCATTTTAGAATGATTATCTTTTGCTTCACTACTTGAAAATACTTTTTGTTCCAAAGGTAAATACGGTTCTATAAAAAATAAGGTAATTCTCTAGCTTAGCTACACCAGCATTTTTTTTATTATCCGTCCGAATAAGCACTAGTTTTGGGTTGTCAATGATGGAAGTAAGATTAAAAATGTCCGCAAAAGGGTTAGTTGCAGAATATTGTTGTTATTAGCTGGGTTTTAAAAGGGAAACACCTTAATTACGACATTTGCAGAATGGAACGGATCCAATACATTCAGCGATGTAGCCACATTGAAGAAATGGAATTAACGAAAATACGCATTTCCACGCGTAGCAGCTCTTCTTTTAATCTAGAATTTGTACTCCCTTGAGTCGCTAGTGCATTACACGTTATGCAGGGATGTGTGAAGTTCAAAGGTGTTTCAGAACTATGGGATCAAACTTGTAGGGGTTATTCACTGTAACAGTAGAAAACATTTGAGTATAGGGACCCATATCCGGAAAAGTGTCACTACGGCCCTAAGACGCGATAAAATTTAGAAAGACGATGAATTGCCTGAATAGGACTTAATGCATTTAATTTTTGCCTTTTGTACATGATATCATCACAACAATTGTTCAAAATGTCTTCCTCCAACCTGGATACACCGATTTAAACGTCGCACATGATTTCGGCGGACTTGACTAAAAATTTGATTCTCGTTTTGAATGATTTGAAATGCTGCTGTAATTCGTCCAATTAAGTCTTGCTCTGTTCCTACTGGAGTTTCGTAAACCATGTACCCACAGGAACGGTGTATTCAGGTTGGAGGAAGACATTTTGAACAATTGTTGTGATATCATGTACCAAAGGCAAAAATTAAATGCATTAAGTCCTACTTAGGCAATTCATCGTCTTTCTAAATTTTAACGCGTCTTAGGGCCGTAGTGACACTTTTCCGGATATGGGTCCCTATACTCAAATGTTTTCTACTGTTACAATGAATAACCCCTACAAGTTTGATCCCTTAGTTCTGAAACATCCTGTATATACAAATTTAATTATCAAGAATGTCCATCAACACGAAAACCTATGAAGTAATGAAATCTGGCAACATAGCACAGTCTTTGAAAACAAACATTCAATAAAAACCTATTATATAGTAAAATATTCCAGAACTTTCGTGTTTGCGGTCATTTTCGGTGCCATTTCTTTCATCTACACCCAAAAATTAGGGTCTGAAATCATTTTTTCATCAAAAAGGGCTGGTGTAGTTAAGGTAGAGAATTACCAAAAATAAAAACAAGGATTATCAATCAATATATAATTTCTAAACTATATTTCTTAGTATTTCTGAAAAATAAAATACCATAATCCTTGCGAATGCAGACATAAAAAATATTAACGATTCCTATTGTTGCATAAGGAAATTCAAATATACTACATCAATCAGAAGTGATAATAATATTATTATCATTTTTTGTGTACTTACCAGGATCTGATTGCTCATAAATGTTTTTGGATAACTGCAATATACATTTTATTCTATTCATATTTTAGTCTTGCAACACTCACCTTCTCTCAAAATTCAAACTACAATTTATAACCTCAAACAGTTATTTACGAAAATGCGAGAGAATCCAGAGTAACTCGAAAAAGGTACAGCACTATCTAGACATTTCGCAACGAAAACTGTAGTAAATCGATATACGATAAATCTTGTTCGAAGATCCAAGGATTATAAAGCAAAGAATATCGCAACTCAATATACAACAGTTTTCATTGAAAATATAGTAATAAGTTGTTTGACATACGATAAAATAAAATGTGTCCTATAGTAAAGCCACATATCGAATGATTAAGAACAAAGTATAGTAACTAAAATTATCCAAAAATTGAGTTAATACAGTCTTCGTTGCATGAGTCGAATTGTAGAACATTTTATTGTCGAAGGAAATTCGCCATACACTAAACAGTGATTCACCAGCAATAATAACTTCTCTTCAATAATGTTGAAACATTCCTTCAGAGCCATTTTTGTAAGATGTTCACTAGGATTTTTATTCTATTTTAATCTTGAAAGCTTTTGAAAGATGGCCGATATTTATTGTTTGGAATTGACTCATAGAAGAATTATAAGTAACTTGCATGTGACATAGTTTTGGATCCCCATCTTCGATTGACTCCACTATCTCGTTTATACTTTCTATAAAATAAGCGTTCATTCGTTCTGCGATCAATATTTTTTGTGATACTATACCATCTTCGAAGAAGATTCTTGATAATTCATTCCTCCTACTGGGAGATACAATATTTTTTAGTGTCTTCCACATCAGTTTACTGTTATTTGTATTGCTATTGATTTTTTTATATTTTACATTTTTTACATATTACAGCTTGGAGACCTGTAGTAAACGTGTACATTATAATTTTATTTCATCTTGATTTCAAAATTAATATACCACCATTGATAATCATCAACTACATTATGTGTTTTTACTTCAATCATCCTGTTTGTGCCATGCCACCTGTATGTTTCGAAAGTGTGTTTACTCGTGCATCATTCTTATGGATATCAGTCTCCATATCTTCAATATCTTCTATAATGTGTTTCAGTCAAGCAAAGAACTAATAGTTTCACTGAAATTAAAAAAATTATAACTTCATTCCTGTGCGATAAAAATCCTTAAATATTTATATGGTATACGTTGTTAGAATATTTTTTGGCCTGTAATTGCTATTTGTCACCATGTTACCATAAGAAACTTTATTTTTTGATTTTTCATATTCAATTTGGACCATGTTGTAGGTATAATGGAAGGAAGAGTGATTTATATCAAAATTTGTATTATACTTCAAATTTGAATCTCTGCAATTTGGACATGTTATTTCATCTTTTGATATTACACAGTTCCGGGCCTGATAATCACTATTTCCGCATTTTAAACAAATACTGGTCTTGGTGCATTTTTTCGCGGTGTGGTGAAATCCGCCACAGTTAAAACACCTCAGAAGATCGTAATACTCAAAAATTGTACAACATCCATGGATACAAACAAAGCTCCTGCTTTCATTACTGCCTCAAATGTCGATCTATCCAATTCCAAAATTGCCATATACCGAAATTTCATTTTTTTGATTGCCACTACTGTAATCGAAGCATCACTATTTATAATGTTGTTTCTCACTTTTAAGTCTCTAACCAATTCTTTATTGTTTGTATTTTTGTATGGCATACATTTACTTTATAATTCTGTCCAACACTTTTTTCTATATCCAATTTTTTTGATATCATCGATATCCTTGCACTCTATTTTCAGTGATCCATCTTTCACATCGTTTACTTTTTTAAGATACAAATTCATTTTTGCTGGATTTATATACTTGCCCAATTCCTCCTTTGTTTGCGTACAACATTGATTTGTATTAATAGGTTTCATAACAATTGTATTTTCCGGTTGTGTTTATATTTTTAGTATATTTTACCGTTTGTTTTGGAGATGGCGAAGTAATGTTGGTGTTTTCATGTGTAGAACTTTTGACCATGTCTGCATAAGATTTACTGTTATTTGCAGATGTATCTTGTAAATTCTCAATTTGTTTATTCAGTTTATCTATTTTTCATATAGTTTTAACAGGTTTTCTTGTATCGAAATCAGACTCCATATGGTTCAACTCGATATTTTTTCAAGAACTCGACCCAGAAAATCTGACAAGTAATGTCACTAATATGTTTCAAAATTAAATATCCGTAAAACTTCCAAAAAGTCAGGTTCCAATTTACCACTGCTCACTAGTAGCCTCCATTACTCTAGATACCACCAGCAGCAAAAAATCTCTGGAATCAGCAAATTGCTCTTTTTAGAACTACGTAATGGGCTGTTAGTAGACAAGACAATGCGGAAATCTAAAATTGACAATAGATCCGTCTAAACAAAAGCGCATCAACGGCCAGTACCATTTTTTCGACCTAATCCTAGATCTATACAAGCTTCTCATTTAGTCAAACCGATCCACACCTTCCATTCCTTTATTAGATAAATGTACCAGAGACGGTTGATCAACCTGGATTACAGATTTATCCTTTTTACACCAACATTTAAATGAACGTTTCGTTTCGTCTGGTATAACGTTTTGTCTTGTGTGATATAAAAAGTGATATAAAAGTGACGTGGCTATTGTCATGCCAACGTGTCAATGTTATGTTGGATGTTGAGTCACGAATTGTGTAATTCTCTTTTTTAATACTTTGAGAGGAGCTTTCTCTACGCTATCTGATCTTATCGTATCCACACAAAATAGTTTATTAGCTCTTAGTTCTAATTAAGGAATAGAAGTGAAATAGAATAGAAATAGAAGAAAAATGGTGTTTTGTTCTAAAAAAATTAGGCACAATTTTTCAGTTACACTCGAGCTAAGTGATTTTCCTTCTATTTTGTCTCCAGCACTTGTATAAAGATCAAATTTCACCAGATATCCGTCAAAGGTACATAAACACCCGAATTTAAAGCCAAAGCATATGGACTTGCCTCTAATGAATTGGTTTATATGATGCCTCCCATAATAAGGTTCCATTGCCTCATCTACAGATGTGAATCTCCCTAATGGAGAAATACATTCCTGTGAAATTTTGTTCAGGTTTTTGATCAAAGGCCTAATCTTATGAATTTTATCATTTTATCATTTAAGTGAAAAAATCTTTCAAACTTGATTCTCGGCAAAGCGTTTGTAACCTAAGGGTTGTTGGTGTCCATTCTGGTTTCCCAATAGCAGCGTTTGGAAGGTACTAGGCTATAGCCAGAAAAGAGAATAATACCCAGATATTCATACATATCTTCAGGTATGACTGAGAAGCCATGAAATCTCTTTTGGTCCGCGTATCTTTTTGTTTCTATACACATTGTAGTGACTGTCTTCAATGAAAAATATTTTAAATAAATCGACTGGCGCCATATTTCTTTCCAATATATCGGTAAGTATAAGTGTTTTCCTTTAGTAACTCAATTTTCTGGTCTCCTGGTTTGAGAGTTATTTCTTGCCATGCTCTTTTGATTTTTGTGATACTTCTGACATTAGGAATTTAAATTTTCAATCTTTTCTGCCTATTAGTTATCACTCTCTTCCCAGCTTTGATCACTCATATGGATTTGTAGAGGAGACTGAATCTGAATTTTGATTTCTCTTTATTATTGTTAACAGCAAATACATCTACCTTCTGCGAAAGAATACCTTTTCCCAGATCTCCAATATTAGGTACCATATCGTCATTACTGTTTAGCATCATCTTGGTCGCTGTCCATGCCATCGTCGGGGAGAACTATCGCAACTTCTAAGCTCTCTGCATTTCGAACTGGTCATGAGCTTCACCGTCGGAGTCCAGGCTGTGAAAGTAGTTCATAAGCTCCTTTAAGTGCTTAGGATCGGTATTATACAATGTTTTGCTGTAAAATATGTTTAAAATCAAATAATACCTACTGCAGATCAGCGTATGATATACCATACGTGACATACAAACTCTAAAAAGGAATCGCAAATTCAAATTTTTACATTTGTTAAAATACACATATTTAGAGCAACCTACAAGGTAGCGGAATTTTAAATCATTAGTTCTATGAAAACAAAGAATAACTTACCTGGCACTCATTCCGATGGTGAATATGATCCTATCGTTTCTATAACAGCTCACTACGTTGCATAAATAAAAATAGAACTGAATTGCTAGGTTGTATCATCAAAATTGAACCCATCTACACTTAAAAATCTGAACAAGCGCACGGTATGCCGCTAACGCAGGAAATATCATAACCTCAAACGGCCACGTGTTTTACGTATGGTAAATCATAAGCTGGGAACTAATCGGGTAATGATATTAGGTTATGACATATTTAAGGTGTGTGGTTTGATAAAATTCATTAAAATATGTATAGGTACTGGGTGTTTCAAATTCGACTCGCACCATTGGGATCTCAAGAACAGTAAATGCATCTCTAAGGAGATGCATTTAGGTAACTAAGAAAATGATACTTGAAAAGTTTCGAAAGTCTTTCCTGAGATAGACGAAAGAAACCAAACTTTCCCAAAATCGTTTTTATTTTTCCTGATTGGTATTTGAGATATTCAGATATATATATATATACATATATATATATATATAATATCCTTGAATTTCTTTGGGTAGAAGGCAAAGTATTGCATAAGCAACTTAAACTCGAACTTTCGGTGGTCTATGCCATCATCGTCTGGAGCTGGAAACAATTTTTTGAAAAATAGCAACAATAAACAATTAGGAGGAAAAATGTAATTACTTACTTAGTCGGCGAGATTGTTGCTGAAATTGTTCTTAAACGACAGTGAAGCGAACACATAGTCGACGAATAAAAAACTGGACCGATGAGGTTCGATTAGGACGGAATTATTTTATTAATAAATGCAAATCATAGCTGTTTTTTGCCATTTAGTAACCTCAGGGAAAAATCTTTTATGAACAGTCGTTAAACATGCCCATTGAACAGACATTCTTTCCTGCCCTACCAGTATCGTCCTTTCTGTATATGTTTTGTGCCCTCTGGGCTGCAGTACATGCAGAACAATTAGCCAGATTGGTGAGCTTAGACAGCAGGAGGAGACTCAGATCGAAAAAATCTCTACCATTCTAAGTTTTAAAGGCAAATGTACTGGGATTACAATACTTCCTCGCCCAGTGGCGTAGGAAGTAGAATGGTAAACTTGGGCGCCTAGGGAGGGGCGCGCCCCTCTAAATCCGCCCTTGGCACAATTAGAATTTCAATTTCTTGTCCCCACTAAAATCCCATATCAAATAAAGTGGGAAAATCATGTTTTTTTCGTCCATCAATATTCGAAATTATGTAACTTTCTTAGTACCATTTTTTAGATACCTACATGCGCACCTTTGCCTCCATTTAACCGACTTCGTATCTCTTACCGTTTCTGAGATCTCAATGGTAAGAGTCGAATTTGAAACATCCGGTATGAGACATATTCAACTTGGAAAAATTTATATTATTGAGTTGAATATTTTGCAAGCATACTAATCTACATGTAATTTTGGAAAACATGCATAGTTAATATTTAATTCGTGTTTTATTTAAAATGGTGGCCAAGACGAAGCTGAATCACATATTTTGAAAAATGGGAGTAGCAGGGAGTTAGAATTCACCAGTTTACGAAACATTCACCTTTGCTTAAATACCAATCTTAATGTGGTGGTGCGGAGCTTCAGAACCTAAAAACCGCTGATATCCATTAAAATACCAAGAACAAAACGTGGGATTTGAACACCGGTCAAATTTAATGAAAATTAGTATAGTGATAGTTCGTGCAGTGCTGATGAAATGTTCCATTGGGCGCAAAGCCCTGAAGAGCTTTGGTGCCTTAGCTCCTATTGATGTCTGCCTTCACCATTTAGACATACAAGGTCGGTTAAATGGTGATAAAGTTGCACATTTAGGTAACTAAGCAATTGTCATTTGGAAAGTTTCGCAATTCAGGGTATTTCCGGATTTTCCCAAAATTGTTTTCATTTTTTCTTGGACTTATTTGAGGTGGGTTTACCATTGCCACTTTTTCTTCTCTTCATAATTATAATTCCAGTATGACGTTTCGTTTCTTGTCGTCAATCGTCTAAAAAAGTAGTCTTTCTGTAGTTGGTCTTAAATCACGTTTTCATGTTATTTAAGATTTGTATTGAAAACTTTGAAACGTACATTTTATATTACTGATAGAAATAGTTTATAGTAAATAAAAGCCTCGGTGGTGTTGCAGTTTCTTAAACACATCTTATATCCACCATATCTAAACCGATGCACACATCTTGCATTCAAATAACATTAATCTACTGCTATGGTGTCACCTAGACCGCCTCCATCGTGTTAAAATTATATATAATTATTGTTGTAGTCGATAAATGGGCAAATTATCAGAACGTCGTTAACGACGCTCTTCAAAAACTGAAGCAATGGTGATTTAATTGGATAAGCAAATATTAGTTTTTATCAAATCAAAACAGATTTGACAATATCAATTTTAGGATATATACATTTTTTGAATCAAAATTAAATATCATTATCCTATTTATAAATGCAATATGGCGTCCATTCTAGAAAATAAAGTCGATTATTGGGGGCAAGAGACGGAAAGTCAAATTGAAATTCTAAGTATGCTGCCTTGTAGAATGGTGCTACCTAGATAGATTCCTAAATCCATCATTGCCATCTTGTAGAGTAGAAAAAGTGGCAGTGTTGAAGTCAAGAAAGAAAAGAAACCCATCTCAAATAAGGTATTTCCCGACATGTATGGTTTGTTCGTACAACCTGTTGGCTGACAATCAGCAAACTGATAGTCGACGACAAGACATGATCTAGTTTATTCAGTTAGCTGTCACTGACTGTATATCGTAGATTGCGTACATGAGAACTTTACGAGATGGCTGATGGAGCTTGGACCGATTACCGACAACTGATCCACTATTCATACAGAATCTTCTGTTTGATGATTGTCAAATTAGTCAGCAGATTATTGTCCAGTAAATTGTCACGAGTTCGAACTCAAGTGCAATCATTATGTAACATTTTTCACCAGAGGTAGACAATTTTGGAAAAGTTAGGGTATTTTCACTTTCTGTAAACCAAAATGATGTGGGATTTATCGTCCAATTGCCCGGAAGTGCCGGAATTTTCCTATAGAGGGGATAACAAGGAACACTTTCTAAAAAAAAATAACAGCACTAAAGAAGGTCAAGCAGATTTACTCAGTAATTCCCATTCAATTCTCATTTAAAAAGTATGAACATAGATTAGAAGCAATTTGATTACACATATCAAATGACAAGTTGAAGAAGTAAAAATGTGAACTGTCAGGCTGTCAAAGTTGAGCATTTTCGTATATTGTACTAAATACAAAAATATTTTTTTAAACTACTGCTGGGTCCCTCTATATAACAATGATTCTGGCTGGGGTGAAAATAATATTTTCCCTATATGTGCAGACTCTCACTGGGAGAAAGAAGCAAAAATGCTTAAGGATTTAATAACGTTTGTGAGTAACAAAGGGTAAATACACACTAAAAAGCTAAAACTGCTGAGAATAACTACAATTACCAAGATCTGCTTACATAGCTATAAGTTTCACAGAGTTCCCAACATGGACAAAAAGAAATGAGTAAATACAAAAACCTATCAAGGGAAGATAAGTCAAGTCGCGTTTTTACCCTTGAGACATACTACAAGCAGAAATACGGATAAATATAAATATCTGAGCAAAGTTGATCAACATGACAACTAGCAACACAGGTAGGAACAAAGTAATCGCGTAATTCCGCATTTTGTAAATGTAACCAAAATTTTGGAAGGACTAGTGTTCATAAAAAATTTTAAAGTGGTGACAACTTATCGCCGAATATACGTATAATTAACTTAAGAGCGCATCAATACAGTTTCTCTTTTGAGCGCCATCACTATTGTATGCCACATCACTTAGCTCTGATGGATGAATTGTGAGGTGATTATTATCACCATCATCTTCAATGTGCTTTCTGCTGCAAAATTATCACCTATAGACAAGTTGTGTAAAACGCAAGTCGCTCGTATGAAATGCCGTCTATCTGAAGCTTCATAACATGGTAGAGTTGCCTACATTTTTTGCTTCAAACTGCCATTGTAGTTCTCTACTAGAATGATATTTGAAGAATGTTATAGTTTAGTTGTCTGGATGATAATTGACCACGGTCTTGGAATGGAATTAAGAGCTTAGGTAACAAGGGGTATGTATGTGATCGGCACCACACTTCTGCTGCAGTGTTTACAAATTTGATGGCGTTCTAAAAACCCTAGAGTCACGCACAGAGCCCTGATAACCAGTAAACACACTGATAATTTTTAAATCTTGGTCGCATATAAGTTGTGTCTGGAATAAAAATAATTATACTTACAAATATAGATATATAATTCGTATTTTTGAGATGTATGAAAACTAGAGTATGGAAGGAATGATAACATCCGATCCAAGCTAATTCTAGGTAAACTGTATACATTAAAAAATTGTAACTTTACTTGGCGCATAGATACATATCCATAATTACATCAACCTGTATAGAGTAGCATCCTTTTCCAGTAAATCTATTTTTTATTGTAGAAATACAGTTATATGTTTCTTCTTCTGATGCCCATTTTATGATTTCTGGTATTAGAATACTAAAAAAGTTGGTAATTCTGGATATAACTGCATGCAGGGTACTCACGGAAACATTGAAACTATCAGCTACATCCCTGAAGATGGCTGTTTGATATCCAGCAAACCGTAAAAATATACGTGAGGCTGCTATGAGGAGCTAAGAGAAACTTTGTTAATCCGATTTTTAAACTTCTTAAGGCGGCTCCGACGCAGTGAGTTTCAGGCCATTTACAAGGGTTTAGCTGCTTCGGAATTGACGCTTCATTTTTCTATATATTTGAATAAAATTTATACAGTATGTTCAGAAGACAATTGTCCAGGGTGCTATAGAGCCACTTTTCTAAAATAAAAAATTTTTCAGGAGTTATGGTGGTTGGAAGTGCAGATAATTGTTGTTCGACTTCTCGATTTTTTTAAAAATAACCCAGGGGAAAAAACGAAAAAGTGGCTCTATAGCACCCTGTGGAGTCTTGTTTTTAGTGCACTGTGAAAATTTCATTGAAAAATATTCAAAAATGAAGCGTCAATTTTGAAGCGCGAAAACCTCTGCAAATAGGCTTTTACACGAATTTTATCCACTATCTCGTGCTGCCAGTCGAAGCAACGCGGCGGTGTGTAAGGACTAAGAAAGGACGTATTCAGATAATTTGTTGTCCCAAGTTAAACAGTAGCAGTTTTAACGTCGGTCGTTCGAGATAAACATCGGACCATTAAGTGATATTTTTAATAGACTTCAATGAAAGAGGGGAAATTTTTAATCGATTTTGATCATTTCTTTTTATACAATAGGCCATGCTTCAGAGGTGATACCACAAAAAATCATTTTTGTTCAATCACTCCAATATGGATATCAAATGGAAGCACTTGTACAAAACAGTAATACGAAAACAGTTTCAACTCAAGATGGCGGCCGTTACAAAATGGCGGATAACATACTTGCTAATATCTCAAATAAGAGTCGTCGCCTTGTAGAATACAGTACTTCACTAAAATTTGATTCCAAGATTGCCGCCGTTTCGAAATTGCGAGTTACATACTTTTGTACAAAACCCCCAATTTACATATCAAATGAAAAGACTTGACATGTGTGGTAAAATACAGAACTTTGTGACCAAAAGTTTCCAGGTGGTTCCAGGGTCATTGGAGGCGGTAATCTTTTTAGTTGAAAATAATAATTATAGTGAACGCATTTACCACAAATAAAATGTCACTTGCTGTTTAGCTTTAACCTTATGGAGTATCGTAAAATAAACTTAACACGATAAGCGTCATGAGATATAATGCGTGTGTCGCACCTCATTTGGCGCTTTGGGCCTCGTGACACACATGATATGTCTCACTGCTGGCAGTTATATTTGGCCGCGTAACGTAAGACGTGTGCCATGCTGATGTGATTTTTTTACGGGAACCAAGAGTCCGTGGCCTGAGGGACCAAATTATACTGAATTGGAAATGAAAACATTAAAAAACACGTTGTTTATAGAGTTTTACAAAAAGAGGATATTCTACAAATCTAAAACAAAAAGCAAATCTTATAAAATAATCAGACATTCTCATTCAAAAATGAACAAAGTAATTTCACAGCAAATCAGTAAGTTATGGTAAATGTCGATATTCTAACGAACACAAATATGGAGGAACTCTTATAAACTAAACAGATTGACAAAGTCTTATGCAGGAATAAACAAAATACCGGTATAAATAAACAGTAATACAGATAATAATGGAATTACTACAACTACTATCTGATTCACTACCACTTGGATCAGATAAGTATACATCCCCACATAACTCAGTACTGCCCCTCTCTTCATCCGATTGTATTTCATTACACAATTGTTCAAGCCTTTTTTGCTCCGCTTCGTAATGCGACATCACAAATTTGGTATTCAATAATTTATAAACAGTAAAGCAATTTGGACAAGATGACGTACAATACCAACAACGCTTCAATAACAAATGACACAAAACAGTGCTCAACGCGCGACATGATGCAAGTCTTGACTTGCAAAAAACGCGACGCGACTTATGTGCCACGCGACCCGACTGGTCTGTGGGCCACGCGACATACAATTAGTACCTCAGAAAAAAAAATCAAAAAAGGGGAAAAATCATAGGATTTGAGAAAAAAGTCAAGTCAAAATATTAAACCGAAACTTAAAACAAGCTAATTTGACAATAATAACAGTTTGGCCCAGTGAACTGGATTTTCAGATTCTACTGTGGCGCTTAACGTGTCAATGTGACATTTCAATATTCGCCATCTAACAGACTAGATAAAGCTAGCCGATGCTACGTGCTATTGAACCTGACGATTGACTTTTATTTAAATAAACAATATATACATAATATACAATAAATAGTGAACATCTGGTACTAGTACCAAAATGGAAGAGATTAGCATAACATCTCGCACATCGCTGCTAAAGCGAGATCTGCACACCGCATTTGCCGACACGAAGGGGTTAGTAACGGCGTACAATGTAATATGCTAATCTCTTCCATTTTGGTACCCGAGTACAGCAAAAATAGCCAATTCTCAAGAACTCTTTTTCTTGTTCAAACGGTTCTCTTGTGCCTTCAAGATCACATCGGGATCGCGGATTGGCATATTTCTGCTTTTTCTGGATCGACCAGTTCTGGGAGCAAGCAGTTCATGTAGAAGAATTTCAATTTCTCTTCCATTTCATTTTTCCAGAATACGTCATCCTTTCGAATGACGTCTATTTTCAAACCAAACGGGGTCCAAACACCAAGCACACAGTACTCTCTTTGTGCAACGTGTAGCTGCCCTTGAATTTGGTAATACCACTTATGTTTTTTATTTATTTCATCGTTTATCCAAAACGTAATTTTTTTGTTCAGAATGCCCTCTTCAGGGGTCATTTCTCTAGCCGACCATGGACATTTAATTTCTAGCAGACCTTTTTCGCCTATCAAACCATCTGGCGATGCTGCCAGAAATGGATGGGTCCTATCAATAAACAACCCGCAAGATTGTACTTCTGATTGCGAATATGATTTCTCTATTTCTGATTTTGCCACGCTTTCATGCTTTTTTCCATAGTCACATGCATTGCTAAAGAATTCGGTTGGGTATATTATGGCGTTTACTAGAGCTCTGCAACTTGTTGTATCTCTTCTTCTACAAACCTCACCAAACCGAGACGCAGTCAACCTCATTCTTCGATGAAGACGCCACAAATTGCAATCCTGAGATTTTGTGGCTTGCTCGATCTGGGAAATTTTGGAGTCGGTTTTTGCAAGTTTTTTCAAGAATTCTACCTTGGCAGCCTCTATATCGTCGTTGCTCATGTCAGGCTTCTCACAGAATTCCCCATAGGATGCGTTCTCTTTAGTATCACTATCTCTGATTTTAATTTTCCTTGGTTTCAGCTTCCTTTTCAGATTTTTGTGCGCTCTCCTTTCTTCAACTTTAGCAATCAAAGAGGTTGGACTGAAACTAGGGAGTAGCCGCTTTTGGATCACACAAACAGGTCGCTGTGTATTGTGGCTCACTACGGCTGCAGCACATCTTCCTTGGTAGGATCTCTTCTTGCAATAATTAATCCGTTTACCCCCAATGAATTTAGCTATGATTGAGTTAAACTGCTCTACAATACTATTATCGACGTCATGAAGTAAACTTACTGCATTTTTAATCAGAATTGCCAGAAATGATATCAGCCTCTGGTGCAAATCTAAAAAAAAAAGGTATACACACCTGAATTTGAAGATCCATGCCATCTGTCTCTGTTAGAGAATGCATATGCGAAACCTTGCTGTCATTTTTAAGCTAAAATAACATATAAAATATAGTTATAATAGTAACTACGTATAGTCTAATTTATTGGCAAAATGAATGCTAAAATTCATAATTGTTTTGGTACCTACTTTTCTATCTGGAAAACGTTTTTTTTTCCTGTGCGTATTTAAATGCGGCTTCTTCGAGACGCCACGTTTATTTCTCTTATTGTTCATTTTTGATACCTTGATAAGAAAGACACTCAACAATAACAGCACAACAATAACAACACGATAATACAACAATACAATAACGGTAATAAGAGTAATAAGGGCTGAGTATACTATGCGCCAAAATAGGGAAACAGTCGTACGCTAGATCGTATATCCAAATCAAATCCGACTCTGTGCAATATGCAAATTCAACCAGGCACGCGAACAGCACACCTCTGCGTATTACTATCCTTTTCTAACGTAGAGCGCTTGCCTTGTCACAACGCCGTCCTACTAGCCTTTCCCTATCACCCCCCCGATTCCCCTCAGAAACTCTGCTTGACTGTGAGAGCGCCGTTAAGGTTAATAGAACTGGGAAAAACCTCCTCATTCCCCCCACAATCTCGATAACTAGGGACAAAGGAAAGGTCGTATCGGCCAGGTCTGGATGTACTAATTTCGACACCTTTAGGATCTGAGGCCGAAGACGGGCGAGTCTGTCTGGTAGGCACATCGCGCGGCGGCATCATGGAAGAGAGCTCTGAGGAGCAAAGCTTAGCGGTAGAAGAGCTAGATTGCTGACGGCCCACCGGTGAGAAAGTGTCCCCAGACTGTCCGTTAGAGAAGAGTCATCGGTCATCAAGATAGTTTCGACACACTGATACCTGTCACTGATTGACTGGCGTTCTCTGACCTGTCAGAAGGTTATGTGCAAACTGAGGACTAGGTGTCGGCAAACAGTCAGAAACTGTACGAACAGGTAACATCTCTCCGATTCTGATGTTGACGACGAGTTACCGACTACTGTACGATCAAACTAATAATGAATTGCGAAATTTCTAGGTGACATTTTCTTACTTAGAAGGTTCATCTTTGCCCCCGTTCAACCGACGCAGCGTCCTATATTTAATCGTTTCTGAGATCCCAACGGTGAGATTCGAATTTGAAAATATTGTATATGTTCACGAGATTTTATTATATCGTCAAGTATCCTGGATACACATTACAGACGAGTTAGTTTCCGTAAAACGTTGCAGACAGGCGTGATCACAGGACCTAAGGCACCAATCTTAGACACCCTGTATCTCAAATAGAAAGCATTTCTGGGTTTTGCGCCCCTTGGGACACTTAATCAGCACAGCATGAACTATCACTATCAAATTTTATTACATTTAAAAAAGAAGATACAATGCAAAATTTAATTTAGCCCAAACATATTTAACAGTATAGATGATTGAGTAATAGACTATGTCCTTTAACTACCTCAGTACACCATTTCGGCTCAGTTTAACAAATCATACATATTTTGTAGTTCTAAATTCAACAGTATCTTTGATCAATGTAACTGCCCTTTAACAATGGCATCAAATCTAATTGAATGTCGCGGACGCTAGTCTCATAACTAAGTAGAAGATCTGCACTGAAAACCAAATACCACTGACGTCGTAAGGTGTACGAGAGAGAAGCGCAATAAGCGTGCGATATGTATGTTAGAAAGAGTGCGCCGATGGCTTCCGTGATCTGGTACTCGGGTTGCTAGGCAACGAGATGCTTTTATCTCTTTTTAACATACATATCGCACGCTTATCGCGCTTCTCTTTCGCACAGATTACGCCGTCAGCCAAGTATGAATCTCATCCTACATGCTTCAGGTATTGCCTACAACCGTTTTTGCTACCATTTCCCATAGACGGTCATTTTCATTGTTCATGAGATAAAAAAAAGGAGAAAAAATGTGATTTTTGAAGATGAATATTTTTCCTTTGCAATAACAAACCAGAACGATGGAAAAAATATGATTTGTGTCAAAACGCCTAGCACAATCCTTGGACTATATATATTTAAACTACATTAAAAATATTCTAAGGCGAGTTTCAATTTACAATACGTAATCTAGTTCATATCTGATATACTGATTCTTGGGGTCATTTGCAATCCGAGGATATCCCGCAACTAACGTATCTTGACCGCCGATGTACAGGGAATTGTAGATCTTCCAGTAGACATCTCGCACTTTCCTCGCTGGATGGAACAGACCCTGAAAAAATAAAACAGTCAATTATGGGGAAAAAATTGAACCTTTCGGCATGTTATGGTAATTTCAATTTAGTGGACACAGTTCATCAATGAAACTAGTTCGACAATTATTGTTTTTGAGTTACCTACCTGAAGAGTATACTGAAGGATTTTCACGGGCCCTAAAGCAACTCGCATTCCTTCTATAGCGTCCATAAAGGCTTGTACTAAGTGAGGAGACGTCTCGAACACGTTCGGCCATACATAATTCAAAAGATGGATCAAAGCGTCTTCACAACCAAAACCATACACCCCAAGAGCCATATGTTTGATAGCTGCACAAGCTGTCTGTCGGTGAACCAGATCTCTGCAATATACATAAAATTAGTACAACAATGTTTGCAAATTCAAAAGTTTATATCAATAACTGCGCAAATTATATGGCAATGATAAAATGAATGCTTTTCCCAGCATTTTGCTCCAAATTATTTGTTGCACCTTGTTTGAGCAATCCTTAGGACCATTCCACATCAGGGTATTGAATTTCAAGCTGACTATTAACTCTTGATACTAAACTAAAATCTTGAAATTTCTGGTGTAGGGCCCCGAAAGCTAGCGAGCTATGTGCCAACTTATAGGTTTTACAAATAACTTAATTATTTTTTCATAAAATTGTAAATCACAGTTTTCGCGGGTTATTTCTCCACTTTATGAAATCAGAAGTTATTTTTAAAACTGGTAAGTTGGCATCTAGCATTAGCTTTTAGGGCCCTTCGCGTAGAATTATACAATTTAGTTGAGTATCAAAAGAGAATTCTCATTTTAAAATTTTCCAACCTCAATACCCCGAGAACCCCTTAAGCTTAAAGCTGTCAGGTATACAACGTGTATATTATCTGTCGTGAAAATGATACACGAAATAGTTTATTCATATATTCAGTAGAAAATAGGTGCCTCCAAAACTTGCATTGCTATATTACCTGTCCATAAGGGCGTCCTCCAGTAAGGGTGCAACAGCGTAAATGTAATCTTTTCCCATTTCGCCGATGTACTCAAACAAGAAAGAAAGGGATTTCAGCACGCCATTCTGCACATTGAGTTCAGGAACTCGGTATTCGTTCATCAGAGCTGGTAGTACTGTGAATGGAGAGCAAGTCTCCGCGACGATGGCTATCGCTACGGTGGTGCATACTCTGTTTTGACGTTCTTGAACCTAGAAATTAAAAGAAAAACATTCAAAATGTAATACAAAATAATTATGAAGAATTACGAAAAACGGCAATATTTTTATTGGGCATTTAATGACGTTAATGCTAGGCCAATTAGGGCAATGTCGACAAAACTATAGTTTTCATGTCCCCCATGTTTGTCTGGACAATCAAACCACATGTGTTTAAAATTCTTCTTTATTGTATATTTGTATTATGGAGGTATAATGGAGTGAAAATTTACATTTGTCTTACTGATGCTATTAATAAAATCAACAATTTAAAGATATTCCCTCATGAACTTGAAAACTTTCATATATGTAAGCCATATTATACCATGAGCGAGTTCTACAATACATTTACTTAAGATTCAAATATGTAACTTTATTATAGTTTTTGATGTCACCACCAGGATTCTTGTATGCATTTTGTTCAGTTAATTTTTTCATAACTTATTCACTAATTATTTATATATTTTCCACCTGTTTGTCCTTATATCTCAACACTACAACACTACCAGATCATTAAGCAATAGTCGGACAAAGACGCTGAAATGAAAATATTAACATTGCCCGCCTGCAGTGAACAATAACACCCAGCTCGGCCATTAACATCAATGCCTAATCACCGTCAGAAACAGATATAAGAAATTAAAGACATCCCTTTCAGACTACCCTTACCTTTAGATTATTGAGGAGGGTAGCGAGGACATCGTGAGGACCAATAGCTTTGGCGATGTAACCGAAAGTATTGACGGTAGCTCGCCTAATAGCTTTTTTGTGTGCTTTCAGCAACTCCAGAAGCTCAAAGCATATTCGCATCCATTCCCTGGCAGACACGTATTCAGGTCCACGGTCGGCGATACGACCAACCAAATCAATACAGTTTTCTTGAACCTTCTCATGCCTACAAAAATAAAATTCAAATATAATAATAATAGTAATAATAAAACGTCTTCATTGGGCAAAGTTTAGCATAAGCTATTATGCCGCTTAACCCGTTGATCACTATATAAAAATCATAAAGCGCTGAATGAGTAATATTTCTCCATTTGACCAGATCGTACGATAAACATATCAAAAAAGTTATGCAATAACAATTACAATGTGACCATCAATGTGTGTACCATCAATTTTTGCACTTAATTTCAAATGTATAAAGAATGTATAGCCCACCCTATCAGTGGCGGCTCGTGCCAATTCAGTGAGGTAGTGCCAGAATGGAAGCCATAATTTTGAATCGATTCAAAATTGTAAAGAATAACTTATAACTTACCCCTGATAGTTAGTGGTCAAAGTTCTTGAGGTTCAATAAATCTATATGTCCAAAAAAAAATCAAAAATAAAACTATTTACACACGCGCACCAAATTATAAAACAAGTGTGGAGAAGTACCTATAACTTCAAAGTTTTCTATACATGAAGTCCATTCTTCTTTCTTTTTTGGTAGCAAAGTTTTCGATTACCTTATTATTAAAATTTTCAATGCCACTAACAAAATGTTTTTCTGCAGACAGCATTCCTAAAGCACTAAGCCTTTCTTCCTTCATTGTGTTTCTGAGGAAAGTTTTAATCCGTTTCAGCATTGAAAAAGAGCGTTCTGCTTCAGATGTTGACATCGGTATAGTGATTGAAATACTTAAGAGCTTAAGAGTTTCTTGAAACGTACAATTTAATCCTTCCTCGTTCAATAAAATGGATAGTGGAACAGCTCCAGAAGTAGTACTCAATTCTTCTCTCTGATATAATACTTGTAACTCAGTTTTAAGCCTGTTTTTGTCTAAAAATAAAAATTGTGGGCATGTGTCATTTAAATGTGCTTCAGGAAACTGATGTTTATAAACAGAAAACTTTTCAGACACAAATAAATTAGAAGCAACTAAATGTCCAGAAAAGTTAAATCTTGTTCTTATTTGCGATAATACTGCATCGCATATTTCTAACGCTTCCCGTTTTTTGCTGCCTTCTTCAACTTGCCTTTTTTTTCTTGCCGGTTCATCAGTTTCTCTCTGCACTCGTTCAATCTCGTCAATAATGCTATCCATTTGTTCTCGTATAGTTTGAATTGCTGCTTCAAAATTCTCTAAATCATTTTTGACCTTAACAGAATCGGTGCCTACTTTTTGTAATTGGTTAAAGACAATTTCAACATGTGGCATTATTTTATGGAATATACTTAGCCAAAATACAAAATTTGTATCTTGCAGCTTTAATTTGTACCCACTGGCTTGATTAATCGACGAAGAATCGCGTGAAGTACTTTCTATACGTATATTGTCCATAACTTCAATCAGGTCTTTCCTATTTTCATAAACTGTATGAACACCTCGTGACTGAAAATTCCAACGTGTTTGGGAAGATCTTGGCAATCTGCGATTAACTATTTCATCCAAAATTTTTGTTCTTTGAGGAGACGTCGAAAAAAAAGAGCACAATCCAGATAAATTATGGAAAAATATTCTAGCCTGCTTATTGACAGAGCATGCGCTTGTCATAATTAGATTTAACTGGTGTGCATAGCAATGAACATAATTTGCAAGTGGATAAGTTTCCTTAATAATTTTTTGAACGCCATTCAATTCACCACTCATAACAGACGCACCATCATAGCTTTGAGCTATTAATTTGTTTGGATTTTGATCTAGTAATGGATTTACAACATTTAAAACGCATGCAGCGATTGATTTGGCATCGTGTCCGTCGGGGACGTAGAATCTCCAAAATCTCTCAACTGGTTGTCCTTTACACAAATATCTGAAAATAATAACTAACTGAAATTCACTGGCTACGTCAGTCGTTTCATCGGCAATTACTGCAACAAAAGGAGAATTTGCAATCTCCTTCTTAACTTCTTCATGATAAACATCTAGCATGCACTCAAGAAGCTCGTTTTGAGTTGTTTTTGAGGTACCCTTGAAAAGTTTGGCACTTTGAATATGGACTTTCAATTCGTTGTCTAATTCGGCGCTAAAATTCACCAGCTCCTTAAATATGCCTCTGTTTTCCGAATTTTCCTTTTCATCGTGACCCCTTAAGGCTAACTCAAATGCTCCACAAAACCTTATACAACTAATAATTTTATTCAATACATATCGATTCTTATCCACTTGATTATTATGTTTAATTAGATCATTGCGATAAGCCGAATTGAGTTGAGTCCTTATATTTAATTTACCAAGAATAGAAAAGCTAAAAACATTATTCATATGGACTTTAGATTTTTCGTGGGTCTTCATTTTATCCCATATATGTATAAGATCGTCTGTACCTTTTTTTGACCAAGTCTCGTCACCTCCAAATAGAACACATACAAAACAAAATAGTTTATTCGTTTCTTCACAACCACATATCCAGCTGTTTTTATCGTACACATTTTTATTAAATTTGCGACAGCGCGATTTTTGTCCGCTACCACTTTGTTTCTCAATTTTTAAATCGGGTATTGGCCGTCCTAATTCTTTAATTTGCAGTTTTTGATCCAGCGAAAAACCACTAAATGAGTTTTTTAATATCCCGATTTTATTCATTTTCACTAGTTTTAATAAAACAGTAAAAAATATGATCACAAAACAGAGCAGTTCATTAACACTAGACGTACTAAAACAAAAAAGGTATTTTTCACTTTTCAGGTAAAAAAAGACCGAAATCAGCACTAGACGTAATCATAAGGAAACGACCGACCGAACAAAATCACCGCCGATATCACTTGATAACGAATTACGACTGATGATGTGCCTGGCACAAATTATACTTGTCTTTCGCTATTCACCTCATATAAAAATGTGTAGGGTAGCGTTATCTCTGTCGCTCGTATGCGATGCTAGTAAAATTTCTCTCTTTTTATTTGGGCCGGCCCAAAATTGGCACAAGTTGATGACGTCAAGGTCAAGGCGTGCTTTCCGTCTCGCGTGGTTCGGGTGCTTGCGGTGTTGTCACGTTGTCAGTGTTGTCACTTCATATAATTTATACCAAAAAAAAAAATGAAAAAGCAGAAAATAAAGTAAAACATTGAAGATTGAAAAAAATATTCTTTTTGAAGAAGACAAGGTAGTGCCATGGCACCGTGGCACTACCTCACGAGCCGCCACTGCACCCTATACAAACATCAAAACTAATTTTTTTTCTATATCTACTAACAAATATGTAAAAATACACTACCTATTTTTCAGAATGGGAGTCAACCTAGGCAGCAGATCTTTGATAGGAGGGGTCATTTTGGTCATACCAATAACGTTAACGATCGCTTTCAAGGCGCCTAGAATAGAACCCAGCACTTCAGGATATTCTTCTCCCAAGTATTCATAAAGTACAACACCCAAGTGACCCATGAGCTTTTCTTCCTGGCAAGTTTTCATCACTACCGCTATGCGGGAAATCAAATCTGCAGCTTGTTGTCTCACCTTTAAAAATAATAAAATTGAAATACATAACATGCATCATTATCAAAAAAATGGATTTGGTTGTAAAAATCCTATAAACCACGGGTTTACAATCATCAACATTTGAATGTAACTTGGGTAGTTCTTACACTAAAAACGCATCTTCAAAGATAAATGCTAGATACTTTTATCAAATGAGTTAATCTATTTGGTTCCATCTTTTTTTCATCACTTACCTTTGCAGATTTGTTGTTCAATCTCCATAGAATGGTACCGCAGATCTGTGGTAAATAAGGCTTGACTCTCTTGCCCAATTGATTAACAATTGTACCGAAGCCGTTGAGCATCACCACATCTTCTGTTGTCTGCTCTTGGAACGCATACAAAATGCCGTCAATTAGTTGTTCTTCCAATCTTGAATCGATGTCTGCCGCACCGAGGTTACCCATTATCTTTTCGATACTCTCCATCACCTAGAAAGAAGACACATATTAAGGAACAATACCTCTACTAAACGTAAATATCAAGTAAACTAGTTTTTCTACAGAAACGCGGTTTGCCTGAAAGTTTCATGTTGAAAAATATTGTTTTAACAAAAAAGTGTTCACCATTTTTCTGTATTGTTCGTTTTCATCTTTCAAATCATCGACAATTCTGTTGATAATTTCTGAAGCCCCGACTTTATTAGCGATTTCAACTGTAGTATCAACCAATTGCCTATAGTTTCTTCTGTCCAAAGCCATTCTATGGTTCCAGAAATGTTTGAAGAACTGGGGCAAAATTTCTTCCTTTATGTACTGCGCTTCCACACCTGGAAAAAGTATGTAATTTTTCAATAATTTTACTCTTGCAAAAAGGTCATTTCCAACAAAAATTCATTATTCGAGAGCCGCGAAGTATGACTTTTAACAATTTTAGAGCTTCTTGTACTTACCATCTGTTGAGCAACATTGCTTCACTACTTTCAATACAATTTTTTTCATTTCCTCATCAGGAGACTGGAACTCTCTGATTAGGATTAACATCACTTCTCTGGTATAGTAGTTCGCGTATTCTGCGTCCATAAGGGGAATGAGGTAACCAATAGCCTTCAAGAATGCCGCCAGACCTTTACCACGGTGAGTACGGATACCTTTCCATAATGGTTTTAGAACAGAGTCAAAACTTTCAATGCCTGAAAGATTAAGAAAATAAATATGAAAAACATATTCTAAATTTCAATGTTATCATATTGCCATTATCAAGGGGTATTTTCCAAAAATGTTTCTACATTTTGTCTTCTGAAATTATATTCTAGCGTTGTTTTCTATAAACGAGAGGTGGCAAAACTTGTCGTCCAAATTTCGAAGAAAATTTCGCACCAAATCTGAGACGTGAAAATAATTACCATATGGTGTAGCTGCCTCGGCTAACGCAGCAATACCCAAAGCAGTGATAGTCCTGACCTTTTGTTGTTCATCCACTAGACCATGTTCTATAATTTCTACGAGAGATTTCAAATGTGGCAAAATAGCACAACCCATCAAAATGGCGATCTGTTGGACGATTTTTATACCGGTGTGTCTTGCTTGCCAGGATTTTTTTGATCTGAAAAGAAAATCAGCCAAGCCAGCATGATATTGTGTGCAACAACTGCATTATTGCAAGGAGAGATGTCAAACATATACTTCGAGAAAGACTTCATTATCGATTATCGTTTATTGTATGAAATTGAGTAAACACGTCAAAAATGCTGATAAGTTGTGAACATATGAGCAAGATAAAGAAGAGAATTGAAAATGGTGTCAAGCAGGCTGACTCTGCACTTAATAAATGGATTAATTAGTTAAGCCAGTCAAATAATCCAGTGCAGTGCGTCGTCCCCATTATCCACCCATTTGACAATGTTGCGATCAGAGTTGCAATGAGTAAACCGCTAGCGGCTGCAGCTAGATTGCGATAGGTTTTCTTATATTTTCATTACAGTCAACATGGGTACTGAAAAGATTCATTCTAAGTCTTTAAGGGCGGTTGTGTAGATACGGCTGGCGACGCTGAATGGTCAAATAAGTAATCTTAGGTTTGAACAAATTGAATTTCTAGAACACCTTTCCCATTTCTTAATAAACTAAATCGTATGATATTCCGTAAGAATAACTTCACAAAGTTATAAATCACAGTTCTCACGGGTGTTCTCCTCTGTAGCACCTGGATACCATCCTAAAACTATTTAACTTTTAGAGCTCTACTCGGAATAAAACTCGGTTTCGTTAAAAATAAAAGAGTAAAGTATACTTGAAATTAATTTTTTTTAATCTCAAATTGCTCATTGGACAAATCACCGCCCTCAGTCGTATCTATAGTATACAACCCTTCCTTAGGAGAAATTATATTGGGAAATTCGGTTGAAATATTATAACATGTAACAGGTGAGTATAATTACTGGTGTTAAAGCAAAAAAAAAAAGAGATACACCCTCCCCTCTCCCTATAATCGCCAATCCCCAATTTTCTAGACCTGAAAAAGATTTCAAAAAATGAGCACGAATCTTCGAAACGTCAAAAACGAAGTTCATGTGATTTTTTTTTTTCGTGTTTTTGCCTCTAAGCTCGCCAAGATTGGATCGATTTTCAAAAACTACAAAGCTTTCTCGTACTTTGCCATAGTCGTAACCCTGTAACACAATTTCATCAAAATCAGAGTGCTTTTCAAGTTGTCCAAATATTAGCCGACAGACAGACCGACGGAAATGAGTGACATGCTTTTCGTGATGTCATGTAACATCCAAAAACATATATCCCATTTTCGAAAATTTTAGCGATTTCAATACTTCGTCATTAATTGACATGAGAAGTGACAATGGCAAGGCATAAATACAAACTGAGGAAAACGGAAAAAATAATATGAAAGTCTGAAAGAATTTTGGTGAAGGATTGGAATTCCAATTTTCAATTGTGAATTGTTTGGGCGGTAGTTCTAGCTTCTATAATGAAAATTCAAGCGAGCATTTTTTTCAATCTTGGTTATCTATTAATATCACAGTATGAGCAGCGCTAATTCTTACCTGCAGACAGCCTTCAAGAAAGGCAGTAGTGAAGGAATCCCTAAGGCAGATGCAACAACCGCGAATGCTCTAGCCGTGGTGTTTCTCACGTACTCATCAATGTTATCAATATCGGGCCTCATTGTAGAAATCATAGTGGCCAATCCAGCTGCCTTGGCCAGATTTGAGATGATCTCTCTGCCTTCCACGCGCGCGTAGTAGTCTTCATCAATGAGCAAGGGTTCGATTACGACCAGGATCTTGTGGACGTACGGTCTAACGAGATCGTCTAGTTTATATAGGATGCGATCGATGACCTTGACCAACAGATGGCGCTCTTGATCCTCCAAGGTGGGACTCATCAGCAGAGGTAGGATCTGGTTGAAGAGAGGGCCGGCGCCGAACTCTCTAGCCTGGAAAACAGAAGATTGAGAAATATTAGGTTTACCGCATTTTTCGTATAATCCAGTAATGTTTATACTTAAAATGAAACTATGACGGTTTGAGGAACATGTAAGAGGACGTAAATCTTTATATGTACATATGTGAATATAACACAACGCCCTTGAATGGAGAGGATCAGATTACTAATAAGGCGGTAAAGCGGCTCTCGCTGAAAGCTTTGAAGTATCTCGTGGCAATAGTCAATTCAATGCTCAGGAGCCAATATTTCCCTAAGGCATGGAAGGTTGCCGAGGTTATCATGGTCTTAAAGAAGGTTGGTTCGATACTGCAACATGATTATCACCCTATTAGTTTGCTGCCAGAGCTGCAGAAGCTCACCGAAAAGATGATTCTGTCACCCTCAGAATTGTTTTGTTGGATCACAACGTCATTTCCTATGTTCAATTCAGCTCTCAACCTGAGCATAGCCGGGCCGTTCAACTATTGGGGCATATAACCTGTGGGTTCACCAATGACAAAAGTACTGGCATCATGCCGCGAGAGGGTTTCCCTTTCTGAAAAATCTGTCAAGTCCTTTCTAGAAAGGACATTTCTAAACAAAATTAACCGATGCCCTTGGACAAATTCTCTTTTTCTGTGTTCATTCACGGCGTCCTTAACCTGGTCAACTTATGCCCATGACAATACATTGGTCTTGTTTTGGTAACCTAGTCCATGACCGGCGGATGAAGTGTTACAGTGGGCAGATCGGTGGCTGATAATAATTAACCATCCAAAAAGGTTGCCCATCTGTTGTATCAAAAAGCCTCGCGGCGCCCTGTCAGAGATCTCTGTGATTGGGACTCTGGTACCTTGGAAAAATTCCGTCAGATACCTTGGAGTTACCATTACCGAGTTAGTTACTCCTGAAACACTAAAAACTAAATTCCAAATTACATTTCGTCAATTTATACTTTATTACGTAGATCTTCAAAATTGAGTTGAGATTAACAAAATTTTACTTTACAAAATGACCATCAGATTCACCATTACATATGCATGTGTAGCTTGGTGCCTTTTAGCCTTCGCCTCTTCAGGCACATGCGCGAGTCAATGAACACTCTGGCAAATTTGCAAATATTCCAGGTTGCGACTTACACTGTGAACAAAAATGGATTGGCCGAATTTCGGATAATATAACACGATATTTTAACAAAACTAGAATCAAATTCTATTTCTGGATTCAGAATTATTACAGTAACTTTCAATTTTGCTTAGACGCCTATTCTAGTTAGCAGTTATATTTCTTATGTTTTGCTCTCCTTTTTCCATTGCATCTTTCTATTTCTCTAATCATTGTCCTACGGATCGACATGGCAGACAATGACAAATATAAGAAGAGCCCTTGGATGGAAACCAGTTCTTGAAAAGGAGGGGAAGAATAACCAATATAAAGTGGGCCTAGTTATATTTTCTATAATTTTCTGACAGATTTCGATTTTTACCAAATAAGTTCGTGAATGCTTTCGTCAAAATAATAAGTGATCCTAGCTTTTCCATAACATTAAATATTTCATCGCAAAATTAACTTCGTCTTTAAAAATGATACTGTCGACGACCGAGGGATTCCCGCACTTACTATTAGCTATTCTCTGCTTCTCAAGAATTATGAATAAATGCATTATAGCATACCTTATCAGTGATCTGTCGAAGTGCAGCTTTCCTCATCGGCGGAGTGCCGTTCTTGATCTTCAGCAGCAACTTCATGATCTTCCTCTCCTTCTGTTCCTCTGGGCTGAGTGCTTCCTCGTCAACATCCACCAGAAGCTTGTCGAAGTACTGCGCATCTTCTGGCTTCATGAAGGGCAGGTTCTGGCCCTTCGGTTGCGCGTCAAGATATTTGGACGACTTGTCTTCAGTCTGGATAAAGAAACCAGTAGGGGTGTTGCCCACCAGTGGCGTAGGAGTGGCGGTCAGTTTGCGAGCTGGGGTTCTGATCGGAATATATCCTGTGAGCAAACATTATCGAGTATAGGCAACGGATACGTTTACTGAAAAGTATGCTATAGCTTAATAGGCTTATGAAAACAGCGTTTCATACCCTGTGGAGAGAAGATATTGTTTGTATCTTTGTATCTTAGGCTGTCCACTCTACTAGACTAGAAAACCGAGATGTTTTGGGAAGTGACAATATGGCTGCATTCACTAGCACTCAGCATCTGAAACTTAGCGATGTCTGACAGTTCATTTAAATGACGTTCAATTCAAACAATAGACAGCAAACACGAATGTCACACAGTTGGTATCTATTGTGGTCTGTTCATCCCGGCAGTCTCAGTGGATTTCTTCGTAACCTTATTCAATAATGTCCCTGGCCGTACAATCAATAAATATCAAGGGTCCGGCCGAATGAATTTTTTGGCGGCAGCCGATGTTGGGCTTTTAACACAATCTTCGACCGAAGTTTAATTAAAATGTGGTTTCCGTTACAAAAATGGAGTGGTTGAATAACGAACTTTTGCACTTGATTTTGTTTCTTATAAGTTCTAAGCTCATTTTTAATGTGTTGTGTTAAAATTAGAAAAAGACACGATAATTTTATGAATTGCAATAACAATAATGTAAAAGTTCTAATAATATAATTGTGATCTTGGAAACAGTCAGTTAAAGAAAAGTTTTACATTACCATATGTCAGGAAGCGCCATCTAGAAAATTCAATAATTCAAAGTAACTTCGGAAATAAACCGATAATTCCTGAAATCGTTATTCATTTCTGGTAAATAGGAATACAAAAAGACTACACATTCACATACTTATGAAATACCCCATCCCGTGAAACATTTTCAAAAAATTACCATGCAATAAAGTCAATTTTCAAAACGAAGTGACCATTTAGATTATATATCTTGGACAATGGAATAAGCTAAATAGATAAAGTTGATGTCAAAAATAATAAATATGCAGTGATTTTTTGACAAAAACCGATAACTAAGAACACTAGGTTTTCAATGCCAAAAAATAATATGCCAACACCACATAGTAATCTATACTCGTATGTTCGTCCTGTAACATCTAACAAAATAAATAAATAACAAGGAAAGTGGATTCGATCAGAAAATAGGATAGGTAACCAGAGCGATACGTATTTCTGCTTGTTGGCTTCATCACGCCAGAAATACGAGTATGTAACTACAGGGTGGGCCATTTAAAGTGGAAGCATTTGTTTATAAAAAAAGTACATCAAAATAATTTTCTTGTTGTTCATTTGAAAAGTCTTTTATTTTGATCAAAGGAGATTTGTTGTAATAATTACTTTTAAAAAATGATATCGCGCAAATGGTCACCTCTGGCCTTGATAACCAAATGTGCCCTTATTTCGGCGTTTTCCATAACTTTGGGCAATGTTTCGGCGGATATAGCGACAATTTCTTGACGAATATTGTTCTTGAGGGCAGCTAGAGTGCTTGGCTTGTTAGTGCATACCTTGGATTTCAAATAGCCCCACAAATAAGTCTGGTGGCGTCAAGTCAAGTCATGATTCCCAAGAAGGTGGGTTCGATATTTTCTCAGGATTACCGTCCCATAAGTCTGCTGTCAGCTCCTTCTAAGCTCGCCGAACAGGTAATTTATCGTCATCGTGAGAATTTTTCGTCAAATCACCATGTGATTCCTGACGTTCAATTCGGTTTTCGGTCCGAGCATAGCACCGAGCTACAGGCAGTCAGGCTGGTGGAACATGTAACCAGAGGGTTCACCCTCAGCATGAGTACTGGCATCTTGCTTTTGGATGTCTCAAAAGCCTTTGACAAGGTGTGGCACACGGGCCTCCTTTATAAACTAATCCAAAAGGGTTTTCGTTTTTGGCTTCTAAAATTACTCAAATCCTTTCTTGAAGGAAGGAAGTTTCGGATTAAAATTAACAATGTTTTGTCAACAACATGGCCAGTACGGGTCGGTGTTCGTTAGGGTTCAGTCCTAGGACCAATCCTTTATTCGCTTTTTATCCATGATGTCCCTTGCCCCAGCAAGTGTGAAGTCTACCTCTATGCTGACGACACTGCACTTGTCGCCCAGTCGTGTACTGGTGATCTGGTTCACGATGGGTTGCAGAGTGCGGTGGAAGAAGTACTAGAGTGGGCGGAACGGTGGCTGATTAAAATTAATCATTCGAAAACGCAGGCTATTTATTGTACCAAAAAACGTCGCGGCCCCCCAGCAGAGGTATCTGTAGACGGCAATCGTGTACCATGGAAAAATTCTGCCAAGTACCTCAGTGTCACCCTTGATAAAGGCATGACCTGGCAGAAACATACAGCATCCATAAAAACAAAATTCCAAATTGCGTTTCGGCAACTATATCCTTTGTGATGTAGATCCTCCAAATGGAGTTTGATAAACAAAATTCGCCTATATAAAATGATTATTAGACCAGCCATTACTTATGCATGTGCGGCTTGGTGTTTTCTTGCCAAGACACATATGCAAAGTCTTCAAGTACTGCAAATTAGAACTTTGCGAACAATTTGCAATGCTCCATGGTATGTCTCAAACGAGATACTACACAGAGACCTTGACATTCCTTACTTGAGGGATTATGTCAAACTTCAGGCGCAGCGACGTTATAGTCAAGTGGAATCGCACAGCAACCCTCTGTTGCGCGACTCAGTGGACTACACAGTGGAGCAAGTTCGTGAACATTCAAGGCCACGGCTCGCACTGTAATCAAAAATTAGCGCGAACTTTTAGTACACTTAAAATTACACTCTAACAAAATTGAATCAAAAATTTGTTTAGTTCACCTCAAAATTAATCTGTGTACCAATTCAAAAGGCCTAGGTGTCTCCTCTTAAACTAAACACTTCTGTTTTTGTTTGCTCTTCTCCATTTTTCTTCTCTTTCCCTTTTTCTTTTTCCTTGACATTGTCTGGTTTCTGGGCAACCAGTACTGACAGATTCGACTAACGTACATCGGACAATGACTAATGGGGAAAGGTCCTTCGGACCACCCAGATAAACAAATAACGGACTGCTGGAACCAGTAATCGTCCATGTCATTTTCACAAACAACTAGCCTCAAAAAATTCGATAACGCAGGTTACCGCAGCTCCATAATCATCTTCAAAAAAATACGGCCCGATGACGATATTCGCGCACATACCACACCAAATAGTAACTTTTTGGTCATAAAGAGGCTGCTGTTGGATTAATTGAGGGTTTTCGGCAACATAAAACCGAAAATTTTGTTTACTTACGCCTCCATGTAACGACAAATGTGCCTCGTCGGACAAAAATCAACTTCATTTTTGGCCATTTCAATGCTCCTGTTAACAAAATCAAAGCTACTCGGATAATCAGCTGGGTTTAATTGAGTAGCCATTTGAATTTTGTATGGAAACATCTTCAAATCCTTACGAATTATGCGTCGGACAGTGGTTCGAGCGATGTCTAACTCTTGAGAACGATGACGACCGGATGTTGATGGAGTCTCTTCAACACTCGCTCGTACGGCTTCGATATTTTCATCGGAACGTCTTGTTCGTTGTCTGGACAGGTGACAGGTGACATGGTTAAAATTGTACTGAAATGACGCTTCCAACACGGTATGACATTAGCCGATCTGACAACTAATGTCAAAGATATAGGATTGCTTGATGCTTCCACTTTAAATGGACCACCTTGTACAAAAGACACACATGCCCACACGTCCGGATATGGTGTAACCTGAGGAAACGAAGATGGAGAGGGAAAAAATGACACACGAAGTCCACACCAAGAGTCAACCTTCAAATTTTAGTATAAACCTTTCTCTCTCTCTATCTATATACAGGGTGACTTCGAAGTCGAGTCATTTATTTTAACAGTGAGTAGATCTGATCAAAAGAAATGTTTTTTTCCTTTACCATTTTCCTGGTAAAATTAAAGTAACAAAGTTATAGCCCTTTGGAAGTTTGAGTACCGCTCTGTCTCAATAATAATATTATGTGGTCCTGTTTGGCGACAACGGATATAATATAATCCGCCGTATCGGTTCATCGCATCGGAAACAAAAAAGCGAAAGAATTTGGAACGATGTTTTTGCAAGTATTTCATTCATTTGTATACAGTCAGTGTCAGTGAATAGTGGTATCTGTTGCGTGGCTGAAATGGCACATGTTTATGCGGATCGGTTTCCCAATCGAGTGCAACCAACCCCTCGTGCCTTTGTTAATGTAGTACAACGGGCTCGTGAATCAGGTGACTTAAGACCACACAGGGGACTGCATGCCGGTGTTCCAAGACCTCACGATCAAATACAGGTCCGCACTGAAATACTTGTCGGGAGGATACTTTATAAAACAAGGTAAAAATTTTTTTTTTATTTTTACACACATATTTTGGTTTATCTTCCTTCTACAATCATTATCTGAAAATTAATGACTCAACTTCAAAGTCACCCTGTATATATATATATATATATACAGGGTGGCCCATCCATGTGTGGACGGAATATTACTCATAAACAAATGTATTTTGCGAAAATCTATTTATGACATGTTATACCCGACATTTGAGGGCACATTTCTAAAATATTGGCCATTATACAGGGTGTCCCAATTTCGACCTACATATCAAAGTTGTGATTTTTCAAATGAAATGCCTCAAATTTTATTACATATTTGGATAAACCAATTCAAAAGAAGAAAATTGATATAAAATACTATGGGGTTTTGGTAATTAGCTACTGAGATGTAAGGTATTTTGTCCAGAAAAACCATCCACTTCAGCAACCCCTCAATTCGCCATTTTGAAATTTGGAGTGCTGAATCTTGTATCAAAAAAAAAAATTACACACCTCAGCTTTTATCTTATTTGATACTTTTTTGAATTTTCATTTTTGCTCATACAGGGTGGTCAAAAACGTAAATTGTAGTTTTTCTCAAAAATTTCAAATGCATCACCCTATATATTTGTGCAAGTTATACTCGACACATAAGGGTTTTTACGGCAATTTTTTTCGGTTATTAGCAC